GCTGTGGGTCTCTGCATGTTCGGTTGCGGGAGAGCTCCGCGTAAATGCAGCCGGTCCCGCCACCCTCCCTCCTCCCTTTCGGGTATTTATACTTTATTCAGATGGGCGAAGAGAGGATATTTTTACAGCTTAATAGCTTTATTTATAACTTTTATTTTTATTTATTTTATTTTATTTATTTATTTTTTAATACCCACGTGAGGTATCTTTCCCATTGCTTTTCAGAGAGAGTGGAAGGGGGAGAGAGAGAGAGAGAGAAACATCATGAGGCGCATGTGGTTGCCTCCCACACTTAAGGGGACCTTGGGCAGAATCGAACCCAGAGCCTTCAGTCTGCAGGCCCATGCTCTAACCACTGAGCTACAGGCTAGGGCATACCTTAAATACTTATTTACACAGCATGTGAGCCTCCTTTGGTACTCTTATCCTCAGGCCCCTCAAATATTAGAGTTGGGTCTCGTTGCTGGACCTGACCCAGTGCTGGCCAGCAGCTGCCTTACCGCCTCCTGGATCCCATTGACACCTCTTGCCTCCAGATTTGCCTAAACTGTTCATGCTGCAGCCAGACTGGTTCTTTCTAAAATGTACATCTGATCATGACCTTTCCCTGTTTGATGATCTTTACTGTGCAATGGATGAAGCCCCTCCATGATATGACCTCGATTTACCTTTCAGCCTCAACTCTGGCCATTTGCAGTTGTGACTCCAGCTTAATGTTTCTCCTGAAACCCAAAGGAGAGTACTCTGTTGACTGGGCCTGAGAACTCCAGCCAATTCATCCTGCTTTGGTTTTGCTCCCTGAGACTGCCTCTCTCCAGCCTCTGCAGGCCCTCAATCCTTCCTGCACGGTGTTCTCTTTTCCCTCTGGGCTTCTGTTCTTTAGCTCTGGCAGACACACACTAGTGTTTTCATAGCCGTTTAAACCTGTTCCTTTAAAAAAAAAAATCACTCATCTTCATCTCCAATTCTGATCTCCTGCCCAGCTGGACTTTTCCATCTGGACATCTTGCCATTACTTCAAAGTCCACATGTCTAGAAACCAAATCAAACTAAAACTCTTCTTCTTAATATCTTTATTTATCTGGGCAGAGTCCCCCTTCTCACAACCAGGGGAAACACTTTGGAGTCATCACTGCCTTTTCCTCACCTGCCTGTTCAAGATGACCTACTACTAGTTCCATATGCCAGGCAGCAGCAAGAGTGAAAAAAGGGTAAGGGGCAAGATGCCCTTCTCTTTAAGACAGGAAGGAGTCCTTAACCATTTTTGAGCCATGGCATATAGCAATACATTAAATAATAAGATCTAGCAGTAAGTCTAACTTCATATTTCATAGTGATGATGGCCATAAACAATATATTAGATACCTGTAAAACTATTAGGTGATATGAAAATGCCTGTGATTTCATTTAGTGATGAGATCACAGTTACTGCTAATACTTTATGCTTTGTTGACTATATTCATAGTTGAAGTGAATGCTGAATTTTAGTTAGCAGTTAGCCAGAATTGAACCTGGGACCCTTCAGTCTGTAGGCCAATGCTCTAACCACTGACCCAAGCTGGCTAGGGCACACCCCCTTAATTCTATCCACAGCTTCCTTGGCTTAAGAGCCTGCTGCTTTAAGGGTACAATCCAGAATTTATATATAATGCGTTGGCTCATATCCCATTGGTAAAAACTTACTCTTCTATAAGGGAAGTTGGGAAATAGTCTTTATTCCAGGCAGCCATGTGCCCACTTAGATCAGGGGTCCTATTATTATCAAAAATAAGGAGAATGCATTTTGGGAAATCACTGACAAAAAACAAGAACCAGATGGCTCAGCCGGCGTGGCTCAGTGGTTGAGCATCGCCCTATGAACCAGGAGGTCACGGTTCGATTCCCACTCAGGGCACATGCCCAGGTTTTGGGCTTGATCCTCAGTAGGGGGCATGCAGGAGGCAGCTGATCAATGACTCTCTCTTCATTGATGTTTCTATCTCTCTCTCTCCATCTCCCTTCTTCTCTCTGAAATCAATAAAAACATATTTTTTAAAAAAACAAAAACCAGATGCTAGGAATATGAAGCCTTTATGGTGGAATGAGGATATTTTGGTGTATGATACTTTCCCGAGGATTGACATGTAATCCCCCTTTGGCAGCATCCTTAAATACAGGCTTACACATCCCTTGACTCCCTTTGGTTGCCCTTGGTCTTTATTCTTTGACCTGACATGTCTTAATGTGCCTGCCTACTTTGTAGGAATGTTCTTTTCATGTTTACAAAGTGTTCCTGGGTTTGCCTCACGCTCTCTCTGTTGACTTCTTCCTGGGTACTGACGTGGGCCAGGGTTTTCCATTCCCCAGTCCCTGGGAGCTTAGAAGGGGTGTTCCAGGCACTGGTAGATCACAAACAAGGGCAGGCAGGTAGCTCCTCAGTGCTTTCTGTGGTTATCAGATTGTTGCAATGAGGGCCCTCAGGCAGTTTCTGAGGGCTGGTGCTGCATAACTCGCCACTACCTTTGATTTCAACATAGGGGTCATCAGAGGAGAACCTGGTTTAGGAGTCTGTGGCCTAGAGAAGCTAGTTTGGAACTAATCAGTAAAAATAGTCAGCAGGTTTGTTGTTGTTGGTAGTGTGCAGAACAGTGCTCAGTGAAGCTTCTAGTCCTCAAACGCCATAAACAGCTTCGGAGGACACTGTCATTCCAGAATGTCACAGCAAGGGCACAGTCCCTGCCAGAGGGGAAGAAATAAAAGTCATCACCTCGCCACCCTCCACCCCCCCCCCCC